ATATGCAGAGAGTGGAACACTCTTACACTGCTGGTGGGGCTGCAAATCAGTACAACCTCTGTGGAAAGTAATTTGGAGATATCTCAAAGAGCTAAAAATAGAAATACCATTTGACCCAGCAATCCCACTACTAGGCATCTATCCAAAGGAAAAAAAGACATTCTATATTAAAGACATCTGCACCCAAATGTTTATGGCAGCACAATTCACAATTGCAAAGATGTGAAAACAACCCAAATGCCCATCAACACATGAGTGGATTAATAAATTGTGTATACCATGGAATACTACTCAATTACAAAAAACAATGGTGAACTAGCACCTCTTATATTATCCTGGATAGAGCTTGAGCCCATCGTTCGAAGTGAGGTATCACAAGAATGGAAAACCAAGCACCACATGTATTCGCCATCAAATTGGTACTAACTGATCAACACTAAGGTGCTCACATGGTAGTAATATTCACTGGGTGCCAGTCAGGCGGGAGGAGGTGATGGCAGTGGGTAAACTCAGAACTAATGGATGCAGAGCACACTGTGTGGGGGAAGGGCACACTTGTATCCCTAGCTTGGGTGAGGCAAAGGCATTATATGTAACCAAAATGTTTGTACCCCCATAACATTCTGAAATAAAAAAAAAAAGTTAAAAGGCAACACAGATGGGTTACATTAAATTTCCCCAAGCCCAGCTTTTACCCATCTTTTAACCCAGTCTGATTTCTACATAGAGGATGAATAAGAAGACATAAGAAGATAGTGCCCTACACTCTCTCTGTCCTAACCTTCACCACACTTTTTATAATTATCCTATTTGTTTATCTATTTCTCTGACAGAACATAAGTTCTATAAAGGCAAGAACAATGTCTGTCCACCGCTCTCTCCCAGTCTAGCACTGTACCTGTCACATTAATTATAGGTACTCAATAAAAATTTGTTGAATGACTGAATGATTCTATAGAGATGCCATAGAACATAGGTCTGCAAATTATAGTCCATAAGCCAAATCCCACTTGTCTTTGTAAATAAAGTTTTATTGGAACACGGCCACTCATATATTCATTTACATATTGTCCATAGCTGCTTCCAAGCTACAGTGGCAGAATTGAGAAGTTGCAACAGAAACCACGTGATCTGCAAAGCCTCAAATATTTTCTAGCTGGCTGTTTACAGAAAAAGTTTACCACTCCCTTCTACAGTGCATAGCTTATGCTTCCGGATGGTATAAATTCTGATATTGATCAAAGTAGAATTAATAACAAAACGCTTTAGAAGATCCAGCTAGTGACCCAAGGTGGCTTCGATGATAGAGCTTTGATGAATCAGATATTTTTTAAATAAGCCAAACAAGTGGCTCCTGGAATTGCTCACAATGTCCTAAGAATAGTAAAGTGATTGAGAGGGAAATTGAAAATGTGTGCATCAAAAATGATGTTATTCACATGCCATGCTAATATTGAGATGTGTTAGAGCATTGAAGTCATGGTTAAAGACTCTCAAAGACCAACGTACTATTTAACTAAGTACTTTAGCCTTGTCAAGTTGTGTTGGCTGGTGTAAGGAGTGATAATGTCAGCAAAGTAATAACTTGTACCTCTTTCATCTCAAATGTGATCTGCTTAAAGCAATATAAACAAATACATCTTATGCATAAGCTAAGAGTTCTTAATAAGGACAAAACTTCAGAATGAAGGTGTCCACACCAGTGCAGTGGTTTCATTTGCCACCATTCATTGGCCTTCATTGTGATATTGGTACTACCTATATGCTATATTATCATGTTGCCATGAAACAAAAGACCATGACCATGAGCCGGATGGTCAACAGAGTGCCTTGCGCATGCTGGACACTCATCAATATCAAGTGGCAACCACAGCAGCCACATGTACAATGCATAGATGTGGGCTATGGAGACAGGTCCTTGTGTCACACAACCCAAGAGTTATGAGCAATGTTAATAACAATGTTATCTATTTCATCCCCAAATACACTGGTCCCTGCTATTGGTTTTTTGGGGTATTGTTGGATAAACTACAGCACAGAAGGATGCCTGATCTAATTCTGATTGCTAATGTTCCCCTCCTCTCTCTGGGTGGACATCCACAAATGTCCTTTTTTCTTTCATGTGTGAGGGTCTTGGCTGGACTTTATTCCTGGACCATAGCTGCAGAGGCCATAGTCTTTTCAAACATGTCTGGTTCTAATGAAGCGTGGCTCAGCCAACTGTGGCTCTGTGATATTGAACATCCCACTTCTCTAGTTCTTTGAGGATTTCTGAAGTCCCTTCTTGCTGCAAAAATGTATAGTTCTAAGACCATTTTTCTTCCAAAATCTCAGCCCTTTTTGTCATGCCCATTCAGTTCTGTCACACTGCCAGCTAAACTTTTCCATTTACAATGTCCAGTCTGTATTTGCATTTGATATGGTAAAATCATACCCCGAGGAGATCTGCTCCTTAAGAAAAAGACTGAAGGAGAGGTTGTCCCAAAACTTCACCTCAGCACATTCTGGAAGCAAAAACAAGGCCCCTTCACAGCTGCCTGGCCAGCCGAGGAAGAAGGGAGGTGGGGGAGGCTCAGGGAAAACCCTGGGAAGCATCGCTTGCCCTTCCCTAAAAGCCTAGCCTGGTCTCTTTCTGGCATGCTGATGAGAGACAGCCAAGGAAAGGGCTGTAGTAACTGATATGAGTTAAAAGCAACATTTTCCTAAGAGCTATGCAGTCTGCTTACTTGGCTGATAAAACTTGCAAATCTTTGTGATTATGTTTTTACTTGCACACACATTTCTATCACAAAATTCCTAAGCCTTGAAATTTACCTATACCCTCAAAACATATTTTCTAGCAATTCTACTCTTCCCCTTATAAACACCTAAGACCACCTGGCAATAGGCAGTGGGGTCTCTCCCACCAGGTTTCCACCAAGAAAAAATGAAGAAGAAAAGAAAAATACAACGTGGGTAGATTTCCTCAAATCTCCTCAAGTCCTGACACTTTTTAGTCCATCTGGGTTTCTGCTTAGCTCCGAGTGTTGGTGTATTTTGCAGCTACCATGTAGGCAAGGACGTGCTAATGGCAGAAATCAAGCCATCTCACCTATACCCGCCAGGTACTGATTCTGATAATGGTGGCGTCACAGCACGGCGCGCGCGGAGTAATGTGATGAGTTCGTGAAGCATCACAGGAATGGGGGGGCTGCCCACGCCGTGCTGTTGGGAGACAGAGAAAGTCATCATCCATCTTGCAAACTGATACGTGCATGGGGCATATTTTCTTCCTTCGTTACAAGCTAACAGCCCGCAGATAAATTTGCATAGTCATTAAGACTTCCTCGATGCTGAGGAAGACGTAAGTCATCCCTAACTGAGGCCTCCGTGACATGCTGATGGATGTGTCCATCTGTGAGGATCGGCGCGAGGCATCCGGCGCCAGTGCCGTGGACTTCAGTCCTCGCGGTCACGGTCGCCGGCAGAGGGCGCGGACGGCGCGGTGCAGGCCTGTTGGGGCAGTGCCGTCCCTCCTCTCCCCACCGGGCCCCTTACGAGGAACCTTTGAAAAAGGGCTTTTTTCAAGATTGGCTTGATTTCAGGAAATATAATTTTGGCTGCCACGTCACCAGTCCTTTCCCACCGTACTTAATGAAATGGTGACTCCATTTCTTTTGCTGCTGATTCTGCGAGCGCTGGGAAAGGTGCCAGGGTAGAAATGCGAGTGAGGTCACACCTGACGACTTGACGCCTATCTGGAACGTGTAGGTGAGTTTAAGTTGCTATAGGTTTGACCGGAACCCTGGTTTTCTGCAGCATTTAGAACAGTAGAATCAATGTCACCAGGGGAGGGGTCAACACAGGCTGGAGGGGTCAGTGACTCCTGGCGGTTACGCTGTTCTACTACTAATAACTCTCCAGAAAGATCCTCCAGGCTGTAATTTGCAGAAACTGGGACTGGGTTCAAAATCGGTGGCGACTTCATTCCTGACATAACAGCAGAGACCGTCAAATGTGTTCCTCAATGTATTCTACTCTTGGACATAAGACTTTGGAAAACCACTGGAGCTGTGTCCATGTTTTCACCTGAGTTCCCTCCTGTCACCATCAAGAACACTAAACTAATTTAAACCTCTGGCTTCCCCGTTTTTGTTCCTATTGAATATGCCGTGGCATCTGAATGCTTTGCAAGCCTCCTGGAGCCAGGAATCAACCTGTATTGATTTGTATGTTCAAGATTTACAGGTCTGGGGCTTGGGCACTGACTCTATGACTAATGAATAAACTCTGAGTATCATTTTCCTCAACTATAAATTAAGAGGATGAGTTATTATTTGATCTATTAGATTCCTTCTAAATCATATATCAGGTAAGTTTATGATTATCACTTATTATGTGACTTGGTGATAAAATGTCAAATAGACTTGTGTTCTCACCCTTTCACTCACTCTCTTTCTCTCACAAACACACACACACACACACACACACACACGCACACACTCTTACACCCCTCAGCAGCTATTAGAGGGAGAGAATTTTCACAGAAAGGATCCAGCTGGGACTCCCCTGCCTGCCTAGTAAGGGCCACTCTAACTGGCTGACCTTGGCATGATCCACATTTCAGGTCTTTCCCCCAGCAGGACAGCAGGATGGGTCTACTGCTGTTTTTCTATCTTACTCTGAAGTTTTAGTGCTTATTTATGGTAGTTTCACATTTTTATGAACCTCATCTTTTTGTCCTTCCCCATTTACTGTGCAAAACAGGACAAACAGCTATAGTCTAAAAGTCCAGCAAATGTTAGTGAGAAAAGATTCGTCAAGATTGGTGGATATCCAGCTCCCTTCTAATACAGATATTCTCTAATGACTTGTTGAATGAAAAAATGAATAAACGAATGAACTCTTTCATTGGAGCAGGCTTCAAGCACTCTTGTCCCAGAGAGGAAATCAATTTAGATTTTCCCCTCTTTGCCTCAGGCTTTCAGCCATGATCATCCACACTCCATCACCAGGTACTAGAGGGTGATCAACGGATGTGCCTGTTCCCCACGGTAGGAGCTACTTACAACTCCGCCCCTTAGAATTGTTGCTCCTCTGTAGGAGACTCTACCCCGCCCCCAGCATGCCTGCCTCTGCCCCTTACGAGGGCTGCAGTGTCCAGATATGTGACGGACTCAGAGTTACTGCATCAGAATACAATGCTGTGCAGAGGGACGAGCTTAGGAAGGCACACTGGGTAGCCACGCACATACACACTCGTAAGTGCACACCACACTGAGTCCAAGGGGGAAATGGCCTATGTGTTCCTGAAAACTGCAAATCATTCCACTTTCATTTTGTCTTAGGACACTGTGTGTGTCCATAACTGCTAACATATTCTAAATTCAGGAGAGCAATTCACAAGAGCTCCATGGAAATACATTAGCAGCTTCTCAGCAAGCTTATTGTAGTGTTAAACAGCACTGCTTTAGCAATCCTGAAAATTGGCCCTTGTGTACTAAAAGCTCAACATTCTCAAAGCTGGATAAGGGATAGAAGAGAGAAAACTGTGGGGCAGTTTTTAGTTTGTTAATCAAGTACAAAGTAAAGAGAGAGGGTGTGTGCTTTGAGGATTTTCCCCCTAACTTGAATAGCTATTATTAAATGGTAACTAATAAATCAAAGTGACACTGCCTGCTATGTTCTGCCCTGAGGGCTTTTTCCAATAATGAATGTCATACCTAGACACTTAGTTTAATTGTGTAAAAGTGCAAAGCAGGAAGGGCAAAGAACTGCTATATTGGGAAGTTTTTACTTTTTTCTCTAGCCCGAGAAGACCAGCTGAAATGCAACCATTGAGTATGTACACTGAAGAGAGTTCGGGCCCGGTTTGTACATACAGTATCTCCACTTTCTCTACCTTCTCTGCCTTCCTCCAACCCAAGCTCCTCATGCATAAACAGTGCAAATGCTTTCATTCTGTTGGGGCTCCCACCGAGGCAGACAAACCGTTAATAAAAATAAACAAGTACCTGCCATAGTAACTGAGATAAGAATCAAGGGTCAGCTTTCAACTCTAATGTTTTCATTTTATTTTTTAGTTAATGTACTTAACTGTGTGTAGATGTCATGGGCTATGTTCATGAATTAGCTAATTTGCATCATTAATCTGTAAATAAGGCAACCAGATACAAAGTTTTATGTACCAAATTCGTAAAGAAAAGCACAAAATCAAAGTGAATGTTGATACTGTTCAAGGAGGTATTTCTTGGTGTTTTTGTTTATGGTGAACACCAACCGGCATCTTAAGTTGATACAGACAGCCTAGTGTTGGGCATTAACCTGATTTATGCTTAGGCTATAAGTATCAAAGCCATGGAATGTAAGTAATATGAGAGCAAAAATAGAACTATCAGTTTTAGATGTGTTTTCTGATTCTACATCCCCAATCCTAAGTTTATATTGTAAAATGTACTATGTTAGCTTAAAGCTTTAAAGGGATCATGTCAAGACTTTTCAACTTTCTATTCAGATAAAACTCTCATGGAACAAGCCTTCTTATTGTACATTTGGAATCTCACCGCAGTATTTCATCAATTCCGTGATTTTGTTTTTGTCTTATTCACATTTTCACATCCCTGAAGTTCGGATAGGTGTTGCAGTCAGAGGTGTCAAATCTAATAAAAGATGGTAATAAAATTGTCTGGTGGTTTCTTGTGCAATGGCTTGTTAAGACTACGTGAGCCCCAGGAACAAGGGATGGGAAAGATGGGTGCCAGAGAGAGGAGCAGAGTGGCACCAGGGTCGGCACGGGGAGGGCGAGCAGCGGCAGACACTGCCCAGGAGGAAGCGCAGCCCACGGAAGGCGCCAAGTGCTCCGGGACTCTGAGCTAAGTGGTGAGGTGCACAGAGTGTGAAGAAGCTCCAAAACAGAGAGAAGGCCCACTCTTTGAGATTAGGTAAACCTGGCTTTGAGCCCCAACCCCATCGCCAACTAAGTAACTTGCTCGATGTCAGACATGTAATCCATGCGTCTCAGACCATCTCCAAAATAGGAAAAACACAGTAGCCCTCAGAGGGTTTCACAAGGAGAAAATGGGATTGCATATGGCAAAGGACATTGCACAAACCCAGGCACCTTCTCAGTGTTCTGCAAATGGTAACTATTGTTTCTCATATTATGCAGCAATTTCTTGGCCCTGTTTTTGGAGCTTGGTTATTGTATCTATATTGCAGAATTTAGTACAAATAAAGCTAGTTCTAGTCCTCTAGTGGGCAAAGGGCAGTTGGTGGCACCTGGCTGATGTGCACAGCATCAGGCGGAGGATCTGGATGGTTGGCGAGGTCCCCACAGGGATAAGGAATATCTCTCTAAGGAAACAGCTAGCTGAGGTTGTAGCGTAGGTGCTCCCATTCACAAATGATGTACTGTAACTGTTGGGTGGTCTGGTTACATGATGCATTCTGTTTCCATTTAGCAATAACTCCTGTGCTGCACTCATTCTCAATTATGGGATGTAATTATCCTTCTACCCAGGCCCTCTGCTTCTCTTCTACCCTTATTATTGTCTTTTCTCTGCCTTCTTTTGAGTTTCTCTGATGGGGCCTCATGTTAGTAGTGAACCGCAATGGAAGTTTAGTCAGCCACAAAGGCTGGGTGGCAACGAGGGTAAGACCATGGCTTCAGGTGAGTTTTTAAATTATTATTGATTATTCATGGAATTTTACTCTTTGCTGGTATGGATGGTTAAGACTTGGCTCAAAATCTAAGTACAAGAAGACTTTTTTTTTTTTCAAACAAAATACAGTAGTTTGAAAATAACCTCAGTGTGTGGTGCCAGTGAATGTAAATTACAACTGTTCAGATTGACCATAAAACCAAAACAGATGTTAGAATAGCTTGTGGTTTGAATTCTTCTTTGAACTGTAGATATTGCTGTAAGCAATAGGAATTTCTGAATATTTCTGGAGACATAAAGATGATATGCACAGACAGAAGCAGCTTAGTTGTTGAAGCCTTACTCCTAAATCAGACTTACTAAACATCACCTCTAGACACAATTTCAGTCTGGCTGCTCTAATGAGTAGCAAAATATGGCTGAAGACCACCAACCAACATTGACCTTAAGTGACATTTACTGTGATTTATGTCCCAAACAAAATGATCATTTGTCCCGGTTTTACCAAAGAAGCTAGAAGTGCACTGGGAAGGAGTCAGAGGCATTACAAAAGCATGTTAAGGACTTCGTTTAGTGACTGCCAGAGCACACACATTTCCAAATATCCCTAGTATCTTAAAAGACTTAACTTTGCCATATTATATTAATCTGGTCCTATTGCATTTTCTGTATTTTATATGCTAACAAAAAAGTATAAACACCTTCAAAATGCACCATATTACCCAGAGTCTTATAAAGTAATGATTTTTCCATGTTACTTGAAATTTCCAGAGAGAGATTGTAGGGTATCAGTTAGTGATTTTATAAAAGTCATATTTGGATGTTATGTTGGAATAGATAACTTCTAAAGATTCTCCACCATGTTTTGAATTGTCTGATTCTGTCCGGTGGGTATGGCAGAGATTGATTAGCTGTTCACCTAAACTGTTTAACTTCTTTCTGGGCACACAGCTCAACTTAACTTCTCAGTCTCCTTTCTAATTAAACGAGGCCATATATAGTTCCAGCAACTAGAATGTGAGCAGAAGGACTGGGTACCACTCCCAGTCCTAGCCCATAGAAGTCTCCCATCCTACAAGAAGGATCTGTTGATGATCCTACATATCATCTAATTTCTTCTGCTAGGTGGGTGTTTACACACAGGGAAACTTAGCAAGTCACTCTTTGAAGGTGACAGAGCAAGAAAGTGGAAGGAGCCTGGGTCCCTGCATAACCAGTTGGAGGAAAGCCATCCATCAGCTGAGAACATCCACTTTGTGCCTAGTGTGAGTGAGAAGTAAACTTATATTGTGTTAAGCCACTGAGATTTTGCAGTAGCAGCTAGGAAAATCTTCAAAAATACTGTAAATATGGATATCCAGGAAATAGGAACGATTGTTGGAGTCAAAGGGTTAAACTTTACACACCCAGAGTTCTCTTTTCCTTTGAAGATAACACTATTTAATAATGCTTATCATCTCTGTGAAGACAAGGCTGAGTTTTTGGATACTGATGGAATATGTCCTCTCTTCTTAGCCAGGATTGCTGCCCTGGGATTTAAAAGAGTCAAGAAATTGAACATATGCCGGGCGCGGTGGCTCACGCCTGTAATCCTAGCACTCTGGGAGGCCAAGGCGGGTGGATCATTTGCGCTCAGGAGTTCAAGACCAGCCTGAGCAAGAGCGAGACCCCATCTCTACTAAAAATAGAAAGAAATTAGCTCGACAACTGAAAATATATAGAAAAAGTTAGCCGGGCATGGTGGCGCATGCCTGTAGTCCCAGCTACTCGGGAGGCTGAGGCAGGAGGATCGCTTGAGCCCAGGAGTTTGAGGTTGCTGAGTTTGAGGTTGAGCGAGGCTGATGCCACGGCACTCTAGCCCGGGCAACAGAGTGAGACTCTGTCTCAAAAAAAAAAAGAAAAGAAAGAAATTGAACATAGAATGTTCTCATTCAAAGATAAAAATTTGGCTGGAGGAAGGCAAGTTTCTGAAAAAAGCATATGTGAAAATAAATCAGACTTTACCTGTTGCCTCTAAAAAATTCCAGTTCAGGTTATATGGCCAGTTCTGATCATTTGGCACCACATCACCTGCTCCTCAGCCTACACGTGGACGCACATGCACACACTCTTGCCTCCTTTCCAGCAAAATGGCTCTATCGGCAAGTTGCTCTCTGGTGGGACAAAACGGGTTCTAAAAAGGGCAGTCTTTTTATCCAAAAGAGAATCCACTGAGGGTTCCACAACCAGGTGGGTAATAAGTTTATAAGATTGGATAGTGGTTATGACAGAGTGTGAGAGTAGGAGCTGACGAAAATCCAGTCAGGCAGAGAGGTGACAGCCCGGGATTGTAAAAGCGGTGAGACAACGTGTGTGTGTGTGTGTGTGTGTGTGTGTGTGTGAGAGAGAGAGAGAGAGAGAGAGAGAGGTGCAAGCCCCTTTATTTTCGTCTCTAAAACAAAGCCGTCCATCCCAGCGATTTCCTGGAAACTAACACTTGGAGTATCAAAATGTAGTGTTGTTTTTGGCTTTGTTTTTTGAATAGAGGAAGAGCTATTAATTACTTTTTTCATCAGACAAACCTAAGGTTTAATCTCTGCTCTTTTGCTTACTAGCTGTGTTGTGCCTATTACAGACAATACATACACACTCTATTTGTGTTACAGCACTACACATATGTTTGAGCCTCGTTCCCTCATTTATAAAATGGAGACGAAAACTAACCCCTTAGTTGCTGTGGGGACTGAATGTGAATACCCTTTGCACATGCCGTATGGAGTCCGATATACAGAAAGCACCCCATAAATGGCAGAGGAGACGGATACCTAGATGTGTAGATAGCAGATCACTTTCTGTCTCAAAAACGTACCCTAAGTCTGTCCAATTTATTAACTAGCTGTGTGCCTTAGTTTATTAATTATGATGAGTCTTTTAATTAGTCAGAGTCATCCCTAGATAAGGGTCCTGGGAAAATCATTGTGAGATATGAACATCAAATCTCACATTTGAATTCAGCCAAAATCTGATTAATGAGTATCAAAGACAGCCTTGACCTGTGACTCCTGGAACATAAACAGAAATAGGGAGAGGGGCTACTTTAAGAAGATGAAACAAAAGGTGGGTGAAGGCTGCAGAAAGGCAAGGAGCAGAGGCAGGAAGGGGTGGGGAAAGGGTGGGTCCTTCTGCTGCCAGGAAATCCCCCCACACCCTCAAGACTGACTAATGCCCCAGGATGGAGGGAGTCGGAGGAGGCACCTACTGATAACGAACATCATAGATCTGTTTCTTATCATTTTTCCTTCCTTCCTCCTTTCCTCCCTTCCTTCCTTCCTTCCCTCTCTCCTTCTTTCTCTCCTTCCATCCTTTTCCTGCTTCTTCCTCCCCTTTCCTTCCTCCTCTTCCTCTTCCTCTTTCTTTTTAACCTCCTCCTCTCCTTTCTTCACCTCCTCTTCACCCACTGGGTAAGTAAAAGAGCTGGGATTAAATAATTATGTTCTATTCTGAGTTACTGTGACTCAAAGGGTCCACCTAGTGCAGTGGGGAAGAACCCTGGAAACTGGATTTGGAAAAAGTTGGTCCAAGTCTCAGCTTTGTCACTTTAGGGCATAACTTTAACCTTCTTTGATATCTCTGAAGGCAATTTCTTTGTTTTACACAGGATGTTAATATCTGCTAAACCTACCTATAAGAGCTCATGTGGAGATTTAGCAAGATAGTAGATGTGAAAGCTTTTCCTTTTGTTCTTGTAATTGTTAAAGAAATAAAAAATGTCACATGAAAACTGCACAGTTCTCCACTGGTGGAACTGTAAATAGATACAAGCCTTTTGGAAAACAAACATTCTTTAAAAGTTCATTCCCTTTGACCATTTCTGTAAATCATCCTAAGCAAATTGACTTACATGTAAAAAAATCTTTAGATACAAAAATAATCATTTGAGTCTTTTTTATAATGGAAACTACTTTAACGATAAAGTCAAGAATAGTCTATGCATTGTGTGGCACAACCACTTGATATCCATAAATAATGTGCTTCAAATAAAATGTAATAATGTGGAGAAATGTGAATGACATAAAGTTAAGTGGAAAAAATGCAGAATGCAAAGTTACGTAATTGCAACTATCTTAAAATCTATCATTAAAAAGATTGGAAGAAAAAAATAGGTCGATGGTGTCTATGTTTAGGTGGTGGGACTATGGGGTCTTTTTAAAAAAATCATGTTCTTTTTTGTGTTTTCCCAATTTTAAATAATGAATACAAACTGTTTTTATAATTAATATATATATAAGATGAAATAAACAATACAGAAGTACAAATTTCCTGGCAGTATTCCATAAACAATTTTCATACAAAATATTTCTTATCAAACAACAAAAATCTTAATAATATGAAATATCAATAATAGTTATTTTCAAGGAGTGGAATAATATTATTAGTTTTATTGAATTATTTTATGATTTAATAAAATGAAGATTACTGAATTTGGCTATACATATAGTTAAATAGAGGACTAAATCTATTAAAACATAATGAATTCTGAACACCCAACAGTATTGTCAATAAAATTGTATATATCCTCAGGGACCAGAGCAGCCAAATGATCATGTTTGCACTAGATTTAGTTTGGGAACCTTTATGTCTTGTTGAGGTAGAAATAATTATTTATGATGTACATATTCTAAATTGTTTCAGAGAATGAGCATGCCTTCAGTTCCTGTTGGGACCTCTGACATTTCTCTAACCAAATATGTAAAGTTTATTTTGGGAAAGTAAGAAAAAAAATTGGTAGAGAAAACTCAATCACTTTTTCTGAAATTAGAAATATTTTTACCTTTATGACTCCACACATTGCTGGTAAGTTGTGTGTTTTCGTTCCCAAATCCAAGTGATAGAGAATCTTCATCCACAGAATCCAAGTGAGGATTTTTAACATGAACAACCCTTTTTCTGGGGAAAAAAACACATAAAGAGGATGTAAAGGAATTTGGAAAGAAAGCCCACAAAAGAGAAAGGATATCAGTCCACACCTATGAATACTGCTAGCTCAAACACTGGACACAAACCTTAAGTTTCAAAGATCTGTTGAGAAGCAATGTGGCATAATAATGACAATAATGATGACTAACATTTGCTGTACACTTACCATGTTCCAGGCAAAATGCTAAGCATGGAAACTGCCTGATGATGGCATGAAAACTGCATATAATAAATACATTAACTCACTTAATCCCATAACCGCTCTGTTAGCTAGGTAATATTAATAGTTTGATGGACAAATGAAGATGCCAAGGCTCACAGAAGTTGAGAGACTTGTGTGAGATTTTACAACCTGTACTTTACAAAATCGTCATTATTTCTATTCAGCTCTGTCTGAACCTCATGGTCATCTTCTTTGTTTCTTTTCAGTGAGAAGTAAACATAACAGGAAGATGGGGTGGAAGCAGAGAGGTGAATAGGAACCTGGAGAGATTGAATTTGGATATGATGTGATATAATATAATATAACATAATAAGGGCAAAGGAAGAGTGAATGGCACATCGTTCTGGAGAACAGGATTTAGAGCTATTGGGAAAAGGAATGCTCAAGGAAAAGGATGACGACGAAGTGAGGCAAAAGTGCTTGGAGAAAAGGGAGATGAAGTAAAAGATCTAATGTTAGTAAACACATGAAACCACAGAATACAAAACTATTGCGTGAAGGTAAATGAAACTTGAAAACAGAAGCTAAGAAGCAGGACAGTCACTGTAGAAACTCTACTTGTCCAGCAGGTTTCCCCCACCGGATGTCAGAAGAGAATGTGGGAGAGAGTACTAAGGAGCCAGTGGAAAGAGAAGCTTGCCACAGAGAAAGGACTACTGCGGAAGGCCTTAAAGCCATCCTGGGTGTCAGCCCATCACCCCATATCCAATGTGGTTCAGTGGCTACCTGTTCACTCCCACTAAGCCTGGGCGTGACATCCCAGCCACAGTCTGACCCACCCCATCCGCTAGAGTAATGCCATGGCTGCCAGTCCTCCTCCCTCTCCTGCACCAGCATTGTGTCCTGCACAGGCAGGCAGCCTTAGGCTCCCACGGCAATCCCATATGCCCTGCCAAGGGGACACTTCTCACTGCTATCTCTACCTCTCTGCTCACTTCTATGCTTCCTTCCCCACTTTCCACAGGGATTTGCACGTGTCTGTGTTGGGTGTATATGTGTATGTGATCTATGAGTCTGGTAGTCTCCTTCAGCTCTGCAGACCAGTGCTTTCCAAAGTTCAACATGCATAAGACTCTCCTGGACACTTCATGGGCTCCTCTTTCAGAAATCCTGACTCAGCAGGTTGGGGGTGGTTGTCAGAATTTGCATTTCTTACCTCACTGGTGCTGATGCTGCCGGTCTGAGGACCACACTTTGAGTAGCACTGCCATCGAGGACTCCACCAACCATACTGAATACACCCCTTTCCACCCCAGTGGCTGCTGCCCTGGCCCAGACTCCATCAAAGCAGTGCTAGCCAGACTACCAGTCCTTCCTCTCTCTCAGTAACATACCATGCGATGCATGACAGGGAGCTGACTGCTGCTATAGGGATGACCTTAATTCAATCTAATTCATGTTTGTGAAGCACACCATCCATAGCATTGGTTATTTTGGTAACAATTACATACCACTTTAATTATTAATGATAACAAATTATCTATCCCACACCACAGTGGGCCAAGGCATCTTTGCCAAGAGCTACCTGGGACTCCTTTGCTCTTTGTTCCTCCCATTTTCCTCCATGTACATTTCTCTCCACGTGTCTCTAAACATCTTTACAAGCCTTGCATGATTCTGTATCTCCAGTGACTCTCAACCCACTTGTGCATTAGAATCACCAGGGAACTTTTTAAAAAACAGTGATGACCAGGTGCCAATTAATTTAGACTCTCTGAAAGTATTTTTAAAATGTTTCCAGATGATCTGATGTGTAGCCACAGTTGGGAACTCCTTGCTTCAGCCTTTGCTTCTCAAACATCCTTTCCCCTTCCCTTCCATTTCTTACCTATCGAAATCCTACTCGTTCTTCAGAGTCCAGTTCAAACATCGCCTCTTCCACAAAGGCTTTTTCAAGCTTCTTCTCTCCTTGGTCAGTATTAATTTTTGTCCTCAGTGCACTCCGAAAGCATTTGTTTCATGCTAACACAGATAGATAGCATTTCACATTGTAATATAATTAATTTTTTGTCTCCGGAGAAAGACTGTGAATTCCCTGATGCAAGTTGTCTTATACATCCTTTAATCCCTAAGTCTTAACAATTGAATTAAATTTAATTGTTCAGAACATGGAACAAAATGCTAGTAATTTCCTCTTCAAAAATATTTAGAGTAACAGATTCTTAATTAGTGATTAAGTCATACCTGGTTTCAAAAATAAAGTATTCCATGGTGTTAGTACACTTTACTACTTCAGAACAAGCCTCAAAACCTCACAGCAAAAGGACACCTCCTGTCTTCTCTTGTGAGAGACAAGAGGACACTTATCCATGGTTGCTTGTTACGTAAAGTGTGGCCAATGAACCAGCCAGCATCAGCAACTGGAGGTTGGGGGGGCGGGACTTGTTAGAAATGCAAAATCCTAGGTTCCACCCTAATCCTACTGAATCAAAATCTGCATTTTAACTCTGTTAAAATTGATTCACAAGCATGTGATTCACAAGCACGTTAAAGTTTGAGAAACACTGCCATCCACTTTCTCTTCCTGAATTCTACTGCACTTTTCTGTTTCACTCTGCCAAGACTACTTTCATGATCTGAGATTTTCCTTTGGATTCCCAGCTGAATTTGTGAATCAGTACTCTATAAAAGAGTACAATTCATCTACCCTAGAGATTCTAAACTCTAACTACATATCAGAGTCACCAGAGGGCTTTAAAGAGTGCTGATACCTGGACCCTATCTCTAGAAATTCTGACTGAGTTAGTCAGGGAGGCCTGGACCTAGGTGATTTAAAATCACTGATCTATTCCACCTTTCCTATCTTCAAGAAGAAATTCTCAAACCAGCATAGCCATTAATTATACTCTCTTGTATTAATTATAATACTCCTGTTAATTCATTAGGAGATATTCGTTTAGTTTTCCCTGATGATCTGTCCCCATGTCTAGTGATCTCTTAGAAAATTTGGGGGAATGTCTATAGAAGATGTTGGTCCCATAAAGCTCATCAAGAAGCACTTCTAAGATGATCACTCTAACAATGACCAAAGAGTAAAGTTGTTTGGGATTTCATGCCAAATTCAACCCAATATGAATATGGCTATTGTAATACTTTGATCTTTCTAAAATATACAATTTTGCCCGGGCACGGTGGCTCGTGCCTGTAATCCTAGCTCTCTGGGAGGCCGAGGTGGGCGGATTGTTTGAGCTCAGGAGTTCGAAACCAGCCTGAGCAAGAGCAAGACCCCGTCTCTACTAAAAAATAGAAAGAAATTAATTGGACAACTAAAAATATATAGAAAAAATTAGCCGGACATGGTGGCGCATGCCTGTAGTCCCAGCTACTCGGGAGGCTGAGGCAGGAGGATCGCTTGAGCCCAGGAGTTTGAGGTTGCTGTGAGCTAGGCTGACACCACAGCACTCACTCTAGCCCGGGCAAAAGAGTGAGACTCTGTCTCAAAAATAAATAAATAAATAAATAAATAAATAAATAAATAAATAAAATACACAATTTTTACTAAATAGGCTTGCAGGTACTGTTTTCTCCTCAAACTTTCTTTTTTTTTTTTTTTTTTTGCACTTCCTTTCCTTTTCCTAATACATGGAATAAAGTCTTTTAGCAAATCATGACAAATTACTTAGCATGGTCAATGTTAAATATTGGTAACCAAAGAAAAGTGCTGGCTGGGAAGAAGTTTTTCATGTACCATGACCTTCATCTTCATAATTTTTTTCTTTTCTCTCCTTGGTTTCCCTGAAGAAGTGAACATGGCAGGAGGCTACCTCTGTTTGGGATGGGTAAGTGGACTGTTTCTGAAATGCTGACATGATTGAGGCCGGAAGAAAGACATGAAACACAACTCTCAACAAATCAGAGGGAACTCGCAAAAATTCCCTGTGCCTCATGAAGATTAATGCTCTATTATGTTCTGTTAACCTAGGGCAGGAATTGCAGCTAGATTTGCAGGTAGCTTTGGCAGATTAATGTCTACCCCTGGGATGAATAACATTCCAGTATTTTCAAAGTAAATTCTATGTAAGGTCTATCATAAAGCATATGAAATCACTCCATAATATGCTGCAACACAGTCAAATTTCCCTTAGGCCCTGGGAAGCCCCTGTAATTATTTCTCATATACAGCCCATGGTCCTGAAATTAAAGGCTGAATTGTACAGTGAATCCCAGCCTGAACTCTGAATTTGTTTATTCCTCAAGGTTGGTTTTTGCATGTCTTTTGTGACTTCTTTTGCCACAATTTCTGAGACGAGCCAACTCCCTGTCCCCAAAAACCAAGGAACAAAAATATCATCAGGAAGAATTTGCATTGTTTTTATTTTGTTTTATATCATGAGCTATATTCCAACTAAACAATCTCTAAATTTAAGAAATTTGTATAGCCGTAGAGGCCCATCATCTAATCATTTAATATAAAATCCAAGGAACATCTGCCTGATCAGAACAAATAAAAAAATCAAAATTACTCACCCAACATATGCATTCCTGTCAGAGCTCATGGATCTATTGGAGGCAGGTAAAACCGAAGCCACACTTTATGCTATGTGGATAGTCACTCTTAAGTTGATGTCAGGAATGGGAAATATTGTGATTCACTGTTAAATTATAGATCTTATCACAATAGCTTAGTTCCAAGTTAGAATGAAACCCTCCTGTAAAACTTGTTTTCCTCTGAAATTGTTAATGGAACTTTTCCTTTAGCATTTAAAACTCTTATCAAATCAAAAATACCCTTCCCAACATGGCCTTTTATACTACAGCCCAGCTCTCAGAGCAGCACTTCCCCAAGAACATAGGCTGCCTTTGAAGGTGTGGCATCTTCACTGTTTGACCAGCTTGGTTAGCTTGTTAACTGGTGACCAGAGCACCTTTTCTTTACATCTGGCCTTGATCTCAACATGGGTCTGATGTTACAAACAGACTTATCTGCTTTGAGACAATTGTAGCTTTGCCCAAGATATCCGAAAATCCCCAAGGACACTTATCTCGGAAAAGGTAATGACAACTACGAGGCAAAATACTCCTGAACATGTGTGTGGTTGCCCTTCTAAGTTGGGGCAGTAGTTCCTGTTGATGGTTTATAATGATACATGTGTCTCTTCCCTCATGACCCTCCTCAGGCTGGTCTACCTGCTGTTCTTTCCGAGCAACCACGGGCAGTTTTGAGACTCAACATGCGCACTGACTACCACCGGGGCCTGCACACTTTTATTTGGTATTCCAAGCCATGTCTCTCAATTTATTTTTAGGGTAAAATGGGGAAGACCACCAAATTCCAATCTGGCATTTACCTCTAGCTTTGACAGGTGAAAGTGTTAGCTAATTAGATAAGTGTTAGGTAATTAATTACTCCAGTGGATTAATTAGTCTAATTAACATGTCTGTTTCCAGTGCAGATTCCGTCAGCCAGTGATCTTAATCACTGACAGCACCAGGTAATGCCAGCTGAGATTTATGGATCCCATGTAAGGACAGCACCAGACCTTGAGGCAAGTGATCTCATTTGGGTGAGGTGCAGAATAGTATTGTAGAATCTATGAAAGTAGAGTACTAATTAATGTCTTCTGGGCAGTCTCAAATTATTCTCCCCAATTTTCAATTTTCTCAAGACTCAATTCTATTGTTATGGTTCATTGTTTGGCAACAAGTTTTTTTTATTGACTGTATTGCGAAGGGCCAGTCACCTAAATGGGAATGGGAAAAAGCTTTGTTTTTAAAAAGCGCGCATGCAGGTGTGCATAAGGAAAACTCAGGCCCGGCCACCGGGTGTTTTGCAAACAAAGGCTGTGTGTCCTGCAGTGTCCCATGACTTGGCACAGCCTTGTGATCCGGAGGGCCCTGCATCAGATCCGCCACATCCATGTGCCACAGCGTCTAGCCTGAGACAAAACACTTCTCACCGTCTCCCTCCATGGCGCAAGCATTTTCATCTTCTCACTCCCATGACGATTTTCTATCTGGCGTAATTTTGCCCCTGAACCCCTATCACAGGAGAAAGAAATCAGAGTCCCGGTGAGGAACAGAACAGCATTTAGGTCTATCTGCAGTCGGCGTGCTTTCTGCTGAATCTGTGAGACTTGCACATGTGGACTTAGAACTGTACCCACACCGTAAAACAGCGCTCCTGTCACTCTGGGGAGGGCCATCGCAAGAAATTTGGAGTTCCCAGAGCCTTGCTAGGACATCAGCCACATGCCAGGCATTATGGTAAGTCCTGGGAATTCAGAGAGGATGAGATGGATGGTGTCGGCTCTAAAGGAATTTACACCGTAGTAGGGAAGAGAGATGAGCAGCAAAGAATATGACGGGCACTATGAAAACTCAAAGGAGAGACACCAAATCAGACTGAGGGGTGCAGGAGGCTTCTGGGAGGGCGTGATGCCTGGGTGTAGGAAAGAGTTAGCCCTGAAAAATATTGCTGAGCATGGGGATGGGGTGAATATGAGAGCCCTGTGCTCCTGGCCCAGTGAACAGTGTGTAAAATGCAGAGAGATGACAGAAAGAGCGTCACATTTAGAGAACTCTTATTAGCACTATGTGGTTTTAATTCCCAAGGATTTGCACCAGAACATCTCAGATGGGGCCTTAGTGGCTTTCAGTATTTTTAGATTTCTGGTATTTTAAAAAATAAAAAAAAACTAAAATAGGGTTACACTAATTATAATATACTTTACATGTTTACATTTAAGGAATTGGCATCTTAACCCTTTTCACCGTGCTGTTTAATTGTGCTATGCATAAGACATTGCTGGATTTATTTTAAAAAATCCTTAATTCATTACACACTATAAGTTTAATGGAACACAAGTTTAAAAGTGCCTCAAAGTTCTTTTAGCCCAGTGAGTTCATGCATGTATGTATATAAAGTCTAATTTTAGACCAAACGGCCCCCCTGGGCCCACCAGGGTAGGCCTGCTTCTCTGAGGCTATGCCTTGGTAATATTTCTCTTCCTCCCAGGCCAACCCTGGGACCAGAGCCTCAACTCTTAGGACGCCTCTCCATAAGGCACTTAGCAAAGGTTGTATCGGATCACCTGAGGCTACAGCACTGCCCCGGAAACAATGCCCCTTGCACGTACCCCAGCCTCACAGCCTGCACAGCGAACTCCCCACATCTACTTTCTTTTCCTTCTTCTTCTTTGGCAGGTCTATTCTTGTGGGGAGGGGGTGACGAAGGGCCCTACCTCCTACCACCCCAGATTCCCCTGGCTCCCCCATTTAGCCCACAGCAATAGCAATGGCTTGAAAGAGCTCTAAAAATGGCTTAAGCTATCCATTCTGATGCTAAGCAGTTTATTTTTTCATTTATTCATTCAATAAATATTAACCAAGCATACACTATGCTCCAGGAAGTCTAGGAAGTCTAGGAAGTGCTAGACATAAAGGCATGAATAAGACAGCTCTTGCTTCTCTAATTTCTTCCACAAAAATATTGAGATTCCATGAATAGAGAAGACACAAGTTACCCCACTTCTCGAACTAACCTTCCATATGTTAAAAACACATGGATTCAGTGTATCCTCAGCATTCTCTTTTTTGTGTTGAATAACTAAGCCTTATTGAGTCTTTTGATCTTTCCTTAAGTGTTTATTTTCCAATTCATGGATTGTAGCTGCTTCGAATCCTTCCTGGAGGAGCGATGCTATTAACAAATACACAATTCTTTCTTTTATGGTGTAGATGTGTTGCAGTTTAACATTATTCCACATATATGCAAAGGAAACATACCTTATTTTCTATTAGCCATCCAATCTTTCTCACTATGCCCACCCTCCTGGGCATTGGGGCAGAGGGTAGTGAATTTCAACTTGCCAATTAACAGCACCTCTGTGTCTTTGGTTTACATAGTCTCACTTAGACGACTCATTTTTCTTTCAGGTATAGGTTTAGTCTATCTGACTTGCTCCTTGTGTCCACTACTCTTGTCTGAGATGACACACACAAAATGGGGTGGGCAGGGAAGTGCAGTGAGGAAGAAGAGGGCTCCCGGATCCACGTATTCAGTTGCTTGTACCATCCTTTGGCTCTACTGTGAGGTGGCAGGTCAGGCTTTGTCCAGTGTTTGTGTGAGGGATCTGTGGCTGCTTGGGGGTAGTCTAGGGGTCCCTCCCTGACACCGTGCTGGGTGTGGGTCTAAGCTTGAGTGTGCAGTTTCCCTAGGTACTTGCAGCCTCTCCTGGGCTGCATTGAAGGGTGCAGGCTCCGGCTCTCATGTTCTCAGGCTGACCCCTGCCTGGTTGGATATGTATGGCACCCTCTCCCTTCGATTTCACCCCCAAGGGTGGGTGGTAACCAAAGACCATGGCCTGCTTCTTGCCCTACTTCTCCTGCCCTCTCCCTCTCAGAACTGGAAGGTGAGATCCTCTTTGTACTTTCTTTCCCTGCCTTATGTGAACTTCCGTTGGATCCTATCCTGAATTCTCTCTGGTTTCTAACAATTTCCATGTCCAAGTCCACCAGACCTAGGTTTTACTGTGTTAATGGGAGGACTGGCATATTTAAAATCCTTATTTTTCCTCACATTGCCTCAGTAGAGACTCAAACTCCCATTCAAAGAATCCTAATTCTCTACTCCAACTCCCATCCCCCAACAGATAGATGAGAATGTGGACTGTGAAAAAGGCTATGTCCACAGAAAGAAAAAAGAGATTAGTGACATATTTCAAAAGTACTACAACCATTATAAGTATAAACAATAAAGAATTGCACCCCTAGGGCAAACACTACGACACTACAGTGTTTTGTATTCTTCTTTCGTGTAGTAGTTTTCCCTCCATGATGCTGTCAAATTCAGTGTCCTTCTAGACAGGACCGTGCTGAGGGGTAGCAGGTGAACCTGTGCCAGAGTCAAGTTCCCTGGAGGGTTAGTCCAGCGGAAGCTGACCCATGCTGGGACCCTGGAGAGCATGACAGGGTCCCCCAATCCTTGCAGAGGACTGCAGCCTCCTGTTTTCAGACCCAGGGAATGCTGAGTCACTATGGTTATGCTGTAAAAGTTTTAATAATTGTGTATGAGATTTAGAAATACATAACAATGACATATTTTCCCACAGGGCGCTGACATCCGGAATCTTTATAAGTTGAAATTTGCTTTAGGAAAATAATTCTTCTTGATTTACAAAATTACGTTTATTTTTCTCCAGAATTATGCTGCATAGTATTTGAAGTATATATAACCAGGAATTTTTCTTTGGACAATGATTTAAAATAAACAAAAGAACAAGTTTCAAGTTGTATGAACATTTATTTATAGAGCTTTTGGGAGGGGGGAGGGGAGGGAGCACTTGACTATTGTCAACCCTTCCAGAACGGGTCAGTTTCCAGGTAAATGGAGACTCCATATAAGAAGTGTCATACTTACCACTCAGTAAGTGATTATTAAGCACCTACTATGTGCTAAATTAGTTAATGCTTAAAGTTGAGTAATGACATAAAAGAATGGTCTTTGTTTTCAGGCTCATTCTTCTGGCAACATCCAAATGAAAAGAACTTAACTTAGAACTGCCCTGGCTTCTCTGGTGGCCTTTCTTACC